GTGGCAGTGAGCCTGCTAACTGCAGCAATTTATCTATTCTCTTTAGAACTGTGCTTTAAGGTCAGCCAGGTAAGATAGTGAATTTTGATTATGTGTAAAAGATAGCTGCTCTCAGCTCTATAGCTGAAGTGAAAATCAATCATGGAAAAAAAGAAGAATTTACAAATTATACCATTAAATCAAATAATTGTAAAAATGACTCCTCGTGTTAGAATGAAAGAAAGAGACTCTGGAGAGACATCCCTGGAGCAAATTAACTGGAGTCTTGTTGATTTATGGGATTTTTGTTTGTGCTCTTACACCTGAATAAACCTTATTTCATGGTAGTGCTAGAGAAGAAAATGTGCTCATGTCTGTGTCAGAAACCACCTTGTGTGCGGCCACTGTCTCCACAAAGTCAGTTCCCAGTTCACTGATAATGCATGTGTTTCACAGCCACATCATTATCAGCCATAGCTTTAGTGTTTCTCACACTTTGAGAGTTTTTCATGTTCTCAAATGTCCACAGGACTTACATATGCTAATGAGGTTTTATGCTTGATTTTCCCTTTTATGGAAGAGATAAGAAAGCCTGTTGAGTTGAAAGCCAAGAGCTCCGCTGTTTCTAATACTTTATGAAAAAAGGCCTATTTCGGGCCATTTTTAAATCTGTACAACACTTTCTTTTATTAATCACCATGTCAACGTACTGCACGGACAAGGACACCAGTGCACCTTTTAATGGGAAAGCAGCAGACCAGCATCTGCCTACGCAGTGTGAACATCAACTTCCTCCTCTTTCAGAGGACAAATTCATTAATGGTGTTGGGAAAGTTTGGCTTCAAAGTATGAAAACAGAGAATGAAATATGCAATATAAACAAAACATGTTATTATCTTCAGTTACTTTTGGATCACAGTGCCTTATTTTTCTATAATAACAAGGAAAATAATAAGTTCCAATTTGCAGGCTGTAATTACTGGTTATCTTCATCATAGGCTGTTATTTCAAAATGAGCACTCTCATGTTGTTTTCTGTAAGACCATAATGCAAGCTGCGTTTTCCCCTTCAAACGCTTTTCTGTCCAAGTCATTTGACCAATTACATGACCAATCCTACATGAAAGCAATATGTGAGGTATAATTGTACATTTACAGTAAATTAAGTGGAGTACAGCTGTTAATTTTGCTAATTAGATTATTGTAATCCTGTTACATCTCATCTCTGCCTCTCCAGTTTGTTTTGACGATGGTGCTCTCATCAGCCGAAGATGAGAGGAGAGGCACGCATACGAGCACAGAAATATGATGAGAGAAGTGGAATGGAGGAAAAGGGGGGGAAAAGCCTTGAGAATGACTGAAGACACAGACACCACAGCTGTCAGACTTCAAACAAATGACCAGTACCTTAGAAATCTGTGAAAAGAAATTGTGCTTTTCTGCTGTTTAATATTCATTGGAAAGAAAAATCTACATGAGAGGGCTATTGGCACATCTCCACAGCTCCATTTCTGTGTCCTTTTCAACATCAAAACAGGCTGATTAGTGGTGCAGATGTCAAAGTCTGACAGTCTGAGGAACTCATTAGAGACTGATATGCAGACTCAGTGCCTATAAGACATTAAGGCAGAGCCCTGTGCTTCATGGTAACCCTCTATCACCTACTCTGTACCTTGCAACAGACAATGCTGTCAGAATCAGATTCAAAATCTGGTTTATTGCCAAGTAAGTTTTTACACACAAACATTTGCCTGTCTGTTGCAAGGTTGCAGGTACAGTGGGGGAAATATAACTACAGTGATGAACAGCCTCAGGGACGCATCCTTTTCTCTCTTCTTGATGAGTGGGAAGCTTCTTTGCATCCAAGAACATTGCACCTCATGTACAATAATTGAGCGGTGTACAGCTGCAAAGCACTGCGAGCAGTGCAGAGCCTGCTATAACTAATGTGTTTACAAGCTTCCAGAATTGTTCATTCAAGATTAGGCGTACACAGTCGATTTATACCCATTCCAGGTGTAGATTAAAAATAGAGTGCAATTTGGCATCCTGCTTTCTGTACTTATCGGAATAAAAGCCGTCTCCCATATGGCTCGGTCTATATTAAAGTTCTAAAAGTGTGGCTGTGTTTCTTCATCTATAACATGTTTTAGACTCAAAATTGAGACTGATAAATACACTGAGGCCTGAAATGTACATCTATTTGGAGCTTTTGAGGTATGAAATCTTGTTTCATCTCTTTTAAGATGAACCTGCTATTGTATTATGTATGCTGCGTGACTATTGGATACCCTTACCTTCCCCTCACACAAAACTCAATTTTGAACTTTCTGTGCAGCTTTTTTATTTAATCTTTTTTAAACAAATACCACCCAGGTGGCCACGCCGTACCTGCCTGCTTATTTGAAGTACAGCAGTTGCATTTGATGGACTGTGTTGTGCGGCAGAGAGCTGTATTTGGGCTGTCTTGTGTGTCGTGTTCAGCAAGTTGTGAGCAAAAGAGGAGGGTGAACCTTGAGCTCCACTAGACCAGATTTTCCATACGTATTTTTATTTTTTTTCCCTCCAATAAAGACGTGGATAAAGCGACTATCAGCATTTTCACCCTCCACCACATTTCTGGATTGTGTCTGGTAGGTGAGGCGGGAGCTCGGTGCAATCCCAGCCTGCTGTGAGCCTGAACCTCTCACCTATAATCATCTCTCCCCTCCCTCCTTTTGCTCGCCATCCCTCACGCTCCTACCCTTTCTCTCCCTTTAATTTTTTCTGCTCCTTCTCTATGTCTCCATCTTGTCCACAAAGGTGAGAAATTTGTAACCTTCATTACTGACAGCAGCTAAAAATAACCCCATCCTCCTCAGTTTATCTCCTCTCCATCTCATCCAATATGGATATCACATGCTGCCTCCTGCCCCACACACATTCAGCCTGGTGTAAACTCAGCCAGCATACCACCTCATTTAAAGGGGCATTGATTTCAGCACTAGTGCCTCTATGAATATATTCTTTATGCATGAGCACTCACCAGTATGTTTATAGCGGACGTGCCTTCTATTCTTTACACACTGTGAATCCGGAGTCAAATCAAACTCTCGAGATCCATTTGCTCCCAACAACGGTGTTCATTTTCTTATTGTCGATGAATTCATGCTCGCACTGAAGGAAGCGCAAAGCTCTGTGCACAGTGCGTGAAGCATCTTGAGGCTTTACCATGCAATTTCTCTCACTCTCCTGAAAAAACAGGAATGAATAAGCCCCATACTACAATGAGTCTAGTTTCTTTTCCTGGCAGCATATAAACAACAAATGCAAACACACAATGAAACCAATTTCTCCAAACTTATCTGTTTCAGAGTTACTCTGATGAATAATGCTTGTACTTCAAGCTGCCTGCGAGCTCGGAGTCCAAGCATTTTACTGAATTGTTTGACTTTTTTATTAATTCTCCAGATAACTGCCTTCGGTCATTCATATTTTTGTCAATAAATAAGCCAAAAAACAAAAGCATCCCTATCAAAGCAAACGTCTGCAACACTGAGGAGACTCTTACCTGAGGCTGAAGAGACAAGAAATACAGGTGAAGCCTTCAGGCCTACAGGGTCCACTTGTAATGTGCTGAACTTGCGCTCTGCAATTTCATCCCGTCCATGCTCTGGAGTGGGGAAAGAAAATAATTTACTGCTTTATTGTCATAGTTAATAACTCATCACGAGAGACACCAATGGAACCCTCACAAGAGATTGACACACACAAATCCACTTCCCTCCCCACACACACTCTCTAAAGGAATCCTCTAATCTAAGCAGTTAATAATGTGTTGTTTTCCTCTCCTTTACGCTCCCCGGTCCTTTCCCTCTTTCGTGCACCCTCCCCTCCTCTCTTACCCGGTTGTCCAGGAGACAGAGTCAAGTGAGAGACATTTCTTCCCAGAAGCTCCTCTCTCTCCCGTGGCTTTGTTCAGCTTGCTCTGCTGACTGGCTCACCAGCGGAGGAGAGAAGAGGAGGGGGATGCAGCCCAAAAACCTCTGTAACCACTGGGGAAGGCAGGAGAGCCTGAAGGGATTTTAGAAACAAATGAAAATGTGTTTTGGACTGGTTCCACTTCCATTCAGTGGGTTTAATGTCACCAAAATTATGCAGCTGTCATGATGTTGCAGTAGAGCCCCCTCCCTTGCTGTCAGAGTTGGTATGGTCTAGTCTAGTCTCAGTTGGTGGGGAGGTGGGGTGTGTTATAAGAGGGCGATCAGAATAACTGGCTACAGTGGGAGACAAAGTGCAGGCAATTTAAAATAATCACCTGAAGTAAGAGTTTATTAGCTTGTAGTTCATTTTCCTTATCGAGCACGGTACTCTCACAATAGATGAAAGTTGTGCAGCCTTTGTTGTACCTGGATTTGACTGCTGTGTTCCACTAATACTTTATGGGAATTGTGAATTCAGCACTGATTTGACTTGTCCGTTTGCCTTGTTGTGCCATTAACGCTTTCTCCAGTGCCCTCGCTCACTCTCATCTAACATTCATGATCAGCTCTCCACTCCTACTGCCACATTCAACTCATCTATCACCTCACTTCTCAGCCTCTGTTCCGGTTTAACTTAGATTGCCTTGACAACAAGAGGTAATAATCCATCATCTAAATGGGAGCGGATAACTCTGAAGTAAAGTTTCACCTTTTGTAGCTCTTTCCTAGTGCAGTGTGAGACACAAAAGAAAACCAGTTTGAGGTCCGGTGCTCATGTCACTCTTTGTATATGTGTGTCTGTGTGTGTGTGTGTGTGTGTGTGTGTGTGTGTGTGGCTTGTGTGGGCACCCTTCAGAACACTTTGTCTTCGTCCTGTTGGTGCAGCTGTGACAGGCCCCTCTGACCAAACAGACTTTTTCAGTTACTTGAGATCAATAAAATGAAGCAGAGTGAGTCTAATCACATCTATTGCTGCGGCACTGTGAGAGACAAACAGATCGCATGAAAACTGATCAATTGTTATAACTGCACGTTATCAATAACACCCAGACAGACTCTGTACAGTGTCCTTTGTTAGGGTTTAATGAGTCCCTCCAATCTCAACAGACTTCATTCGGTAAACACGTATCACAAATATTGGCAGGCAAGAACTCGGAGGCAGTTGACGCATGATAACAATATACAATTAAATAATACAAAATATACATTAATCATTCATGGTCATACATAAGTCATTCATACACACATGCATACTGAACACACACATGCAAACTCACACAGGGCTTTCAGAAGGACAGACTGTTCGCTCCCTGATCACAGAGTTCAGAAACGGTTTGATGGTCCCGTTAAGGCAGGTCTTCCTGAAAACAGCAAAATGTTTAGGATATTCTTTTGTTTTGGGCTATTAGAGGAGATTCGCATTAATAGCTACTTGGGGGAGGACTGACTGAACAACAACCTCAGTTAGGAATAGATGGGAATGGCCCCTGGCTAACTTAAGATATCATTTGGGAATAAACTGCATGCAGGAGCAATCCACGAGTATCTTATACTTAGGGCAATATCTTTACTAACGCCTTATTTATCCCTCTGTACTATTAACAGTGGAAACCATTGAATTGGTTGCATGAGGAGAGGCTACAGAATATTACAGTTCTACCACGTACCCTACCCATACAACATAACCTCCTGGCTATTCTTAGATCTATAATTAATTCCTGTTTTCTAAATACTATATTATACATACACATACTAGCTGAACAGAGGAAGATATATGTTTGGTCTCTTTGTTTTTAACAACACATAAAACAAGAAATTCAGTGCAACAGTTAATAATATAAATGGGCTGATATGTAAGTGTGACTCTGGAAAATAAACCTGATATTGATTAGCTCTACGGAGCTGGAAAAACAATCTGTATTCATCCTCTAATTCCTGTAAATGACTGTTGTCTGTCTTCAGTGTTGCATTGCAGTCAGCATTGATTGAGTTGGATTTTCACTTCATTTCTATGTCTGGAGCTCCAACAAAGGGGATTACAGTTGGAACACATCTAATCTAACGTAATTTTAGCACCTGCTGAAGAGGCTCAGAGGAAGCCCACTTTTTGGAAACTGTACAATGTGAACACATTTTGATCCAAAACACACACCCCGGAGAACAATTTAAATACTCCACATATAATTTACATTTTACATTTACAGCAACAATTTAATGACCCAACAAACATTTTGTCACAAAAAAGATTTTGTTCGCAACTTTGTCTTTCTTTTTGCATCTTTGCAATAACACTTTCGGCCTGAGTGTTTAATTAATTTCAGTCACAACACAACGTTCACAGTGAAAAGCAACAGCCCCAGTGTACTGGTCAGGGCGACAGCTGACGAGAAAAAGTTGATCTAAATGTGCTATGGTCATTGGTCCATGAGAAAACAGTGGTACTGCCACACATAGACAATACACACACAGACACTCTCACACACACACAATTGCTCTCTGTGCTGTAAACTCACATACACTCTCATACTCTCAAAGCTGTCCTATGACAAGGGAATTGTTTGTTTCCTCTGGCTACCACAGATGAGTCTCCCGAATCTCAGAGATGATGTTATTGGCTTTTTTAAGCGCCTGAAAAGGGAAAAAAGAAAAAAGGGCGGTTAAATCACTAGCCTTAAAGTAGTAGATTAAAGAAAAAGGAGACTTACTTCCCTTGATGCTCAAAACCTATTCAGAGAACAAAAGCAGCAGCCAATTTTACCTCAAGCATTTGAGCAACCTCAGTCCGCTGCTGTGCCGTGTCCTGTGACTCAATGAGCAGCTCCTGCAGCAGTGGCTGTTTGTAAAGTTGACCCACCAGCTCACTCTGCAGATGCTCTTTCACAAAGTTCACCAGGAAGTGCATCACTGTCTTGGGCACACTGCGGACACACAGCCCCGAGACAAAGTTAGATAATCTGCATCAATAACAACAGAGCTCAACCATAGCAAAAGAAAAGAAAATGGGGGAGAACGTGTGCCCTGCAGGTGCTCTGGAATTCCAGACGAACCTGTCTTGGATGCTTTTGCGGACAATGAGAAAGTAGCACTTGATAAGGCGCTGGATGACCTCACAGTCCCTCTGTTCCCTCGCACTCAGCTTGCGGGATACGGGCACCGCCTGGCAAAGAGGGTCAAAGTACAATGTTGACAGGCTGCAATGTATTCACTACTAAGTATTTTGTCGCACTGCTAATCCCACCACTCACTGTGTCGAGAAGGTTAATGGCCTGGCCTTTGCTGGGGCTGCCAAAGCTTGCAGCCGGGGCTTTCTCTTCCGCAACCTTCTCATTCTTCCAGCGCTTCCCTCCATCAAGGGCCTCTGCCTGACAGTGAGAAATCCGAGGAAGTCAGAGGATCAAAGCAATTTTGGCTGAGCGTGGAATTCCACAACAAACTTTGAAAGGGGCTGTACTGTTTGGATGCGAAACGTAATGGTTAAGGCTTTACAGAACACAACTTCTGCTGTTTACCCTAGCAGAATAAATGATGAATGTGAGTAGCTGCTGTAAGGAGTAAATAACTACCTGCTGACTGTTGACAGATGCTGAGACCTGCGCTGCATCCGTGAAGTCTGGATGTTTTGTGTTGATGTAGGCAAGCTCTATTGATACCAAATTGTGTACCTAGGTGGAAAATGTAGGGAAAAATACTTGTTAATGGGACTTGGCTCTTAGTTATTATAATCAGAATGAAAGATCATCTTAGCTAAGCTGTGGATTACCATTTCATTAGTAATCGGCAGGCGCTTCCTCAGTAATCCAGTCACCACTTCCACAATGGAATCGTGCAGTTTGGGGAATCGCAGAAGCTCCTAGCAAACACAAAGACTTTCTTTCTTAGCACAGTGCTGTCATAATTAATGCTACTCTGTTCTAGTGAGTCAGTCAACATGTTTTGGCTTACCTGTGTGCTATAGGAGGAGCAGTGCTGGATGATCCTCTGCAGCTCTTCATGAACAAGCTCCACACAGCGAAGACTGGGTTCTTCCAGCCGCTTCATTTGCCGCTTCACCAATAACTCAAAGGACACCTCGGGCACAAAAAGCGCTGGCCGCGGACCCTGCAGGGCAAATCACACACACACACACACGCACACACAAGCTCTATTATTTACTCACTATTGCTCCGAAGGAGAGTACTAGATTAGAATTTGGATTAAACTAATTACACGAATATAAGTAATGTAAGCTCACCGTAGCATTGCGGATCGCAGTGAGGATATCAAGCTCAGTCAGTCCTCCCAGGGGGTCAATTGACTGCAAAGTGCGGCCAAACGTCTCATGGAATATGTAACAGATCCGAGCACCCCCACAGCTGTAGAAGAGATGGGTTCAGCTGTGACACCAACGCAGTTTCTCAGTGCTGTGTGTCAGCAATGTTAATCGCACAAAAATTGAATGCAGTCAACCAAAAAAGGTCAATGTTTGCTCACTACATATTTACAGGAATTAATTGCCTTGTGGTAAGAGGGCTGTAGTGACGAAGGTGCCAAGAGAAGATGCTGATACCACTTTAATTTACAGAATTACATCCCCCCAAGGACATTACCCTCATGGCGTACATTGTGAACCAATGTAAAAAATAAAATGCTGAGTTCTACAACAAAAGTACTAAATTAGATGACAAAAAATTGAAACACTAAAACATGAAACGGAGGCGGTTTTCATCATAAAAGCATCTGCTATTCAATAAAGATCCTACTGCTGTAGGGAGGTCAGACTCACAGCTCCGTGGTCTGGATGTATCTGGCTGTTCCCTCGATGGTGTTGCAGTAATCGCTGGCGAACTTGGTGACAATCTGCAGCAGGGTGGCACTGTGGTCTTCTACTGGTTGGCCATAGCTGTTGAGCCGTGTCTGGTACTGGGCACTCAGCACAGTCACTCGGGTTTTGAGGTCTGGCAGGCAATCCCGGATGTGGTGCATGAGCAGCCTGCTGAGAGTTTTGGCCAGATAGCGTGAGCCGGCGCGGGAGGCGAGCGAGGGGTAGTGGCGCTGAAGGAAAGCTTGTTCATCCCTCATTGAGTCCTCCAGGCTCTTCTGGGTATTGATGTCATGCTGGCTCCTAGGAGGATCACCATTAGGGAGAGAGAAGGAGTGCAGTCAGATGATATGGGGAATAAGGACAACTTGCCACCGTGCTGTATTGTGAAGCTAAAAACATTGCTAACTGGCTAAAATAAAACAACCAGCAGTTCATTATTGCAAACCTGTTAACCACCCCGATAATCCCAAGTCTGACTGGAATGACTCGACCCAGGAGGACCTCCAGAGCATCCGTCCCTGCATCCATCAAGTCCAGCTTACTGACCACCAGCAGTGTTCGACGTCCTAACAGGCACACAAACAAAGAAATCTTTGATTATATATTTTTAAGTCCTCCCAATTTAGGTTTTAATGATTTCTGTTGAGAAAGACAGGAGGAAAGTGTATAGTAGGACATCATAGAACATAACAAAGAAGCAGGTCTCTGATGAGACAGGACTGAGGCCAGCAGGAGAACACTAGCACACTGGCACACTGGCACACTATCAAAGTATACAACAGGCAGTTTAAGGTCACACTGCCAACCTCCCAGGCAATTACGACAGGTAGATTCTCATCATTTATCCATCTATTCTTCAAAGTGCACAATGATAGCAACATCAATTCTGTAAGCCACTGTTAACTGTCAGGATGCTGTTAATAGTAAAGACTGGCAGCTCAAATAGCCTGAAATGACTTGAGTACGATGTGTTCTTCATGCATATTTTAATCATTTAAAATGCATTTCCGATTGAAGCATATTATGTAATAAGCATCGATGGAGAGGAAAGAAAATGGAAATGAAATCTGAGGAAGAGGCGCCTGTGTACAAAATGTCCTACCATCTGGATCAACCTCACGAGCCAATTTCAGTGCATCAGAGGTGGCCAAGTCAGAGTTGGCAGGGGACACTGCGAGGATGAGGGAGTTTGGATTGGAGATGAAGGACAAGATCATCTCTTGTACTTGAGCTTCAATGTCCTCTGGCTGGTCCCCAACAGGAACCTGAGGCAACAACAGTGAGCAGTGAGCGTTACTGTAAGCACAGCACAGATGGGGTGCTGCTGTGAATCTGTGATGATTGCAGATATGCAAAGCAATCACCATTAATCACGATCTACTGCCATTATATTTGTACACATGAAACAAAATTAACATTCCTTAAATCGCTGAGTTTACCTTAGTAATTCCAGGTAAATCAACCAGGGTGAGATTAAGGACCTTGGGGGAGAAAATCTTCAAATATATGGGCTCAGTAGTGATTCCCTGGAGGGTAGGAAAAAAGGAAAGAAAATCATGAATGCAGTGTAAAAAGCTAAATTTAAGGCATCACTGATTTTACATCGATGCTTTCTTTTCACCTTGTTGTCACCAGAACTGCGTTCAGTCTCTGCCTCGACTTCCCGGCGAATCTCCTGAAAATCTGTGAAGATCTGTCAAAAAAGGTGAGACAATGATGCATCAACTAAGCGCAGCACATTATACAGGACAAAAGCATAATGCACGTCCCTTGAATCTTTCAGATAAATGTACCTGGTTCTTGCAGTGCAGAAATGTACCCCACTCTTCAGCTTTGACACCTGAACAAACAGAAGAACCAGTGTGAGTAATTTTACGAAGGTGTTTTAAACAGTGAAATTTACAGCTTGGGGAGAAATAATGAACACTGAAAGGATTACAATGGACTTATAACATGCTTGTCTTGACAGATGAAGTTCAGAACAAACAAAATGTATGAGAGGAGAGGCTAAACAAAGACAGGCCCATGCAAACCAAATATACAGAGACCTGGGTAGCTGTTTTGGGCATTTTGTGTTACCCCATTGCCTGAAAAAGTAGTGAATAAGAAGAGGAAGAAAGACTGAATGTTAGCAAAGAGACAACAAGGCTCTAAAATGAGTAGCTTGCAGTTCAAACAGTGAGTGATAGTGCCATGCCTAAGTGCTAACCACACATAAACTACTTCAAGCAGACACCATGTTTAGACAGAAATAACAAACCTGCTGACCTTCTTTAATATGATGATATTCAGTATACCATAACTTGTACCAAAACCTGGTTATTATTAATTAAAATATAAAGAAATGTGTAGGTACCGCTCTCGTTCTTTAGTCTCTCCTGCAGAGGGGAAACATTAATAAGTTGCAACACGAGGGGTCGTCTTGTGACTATTCCTGATCCCCGAGGCAAGAAATCCCGTCCGACCAGGCTCTCCAACACAGAGCTCTTTCCACTGCTCTGTTATGGCACACAAAGAAAGCAACTCAGCAATGTTTCTATCAGCACTGATAAAGTCTAGTTTATAACAATACATCAGATACAGATACAGATCAGAAACTCAAATCAGAGACCTTACAGGTTTAGGAACTATAGTGAAGCACAGGCAAGGGTTACAGGTAATGGTTCAGTTCATAAGGTTTTAATTGTGTGTTTTTTTTCCTGACCTGAGATCCGACCACGACAATCTGAGGCAGCTGTATGATCTCTGCACCCACTGTGAGAAAGACCTCCTGCAGCCGGTTGATGGTGGGGATTAGAGTCTCCATCCTTCCAATAGACTTGGTTCACTCACTAAACTGGTGAAACAGAACAAACATAATAAAGTCCAGCAAAGTAACCCAGGTGACGATTAATCATACTGACATTACTGTAACTAACACTGGCTAGGAAAATGTTGTTCTCAAGAGTAAAGTTGGCAACAAAAAAACATTAACAAAAACAATGTGTTGAATAAATGAAAGCTTAGCTGATAAATATAAAGAATAAATGAGCTCCAGCTGTGCCAATGGGAAGACAGTATCGCTTTTCCAAAGTGGGAAGAGGTCCTGATGAGAGGGGTGTAACCCTCGAGCATCAGTTAGACCAACACTGCGGATGACACATTAAAGTAGGATTTTAATTGGCTATTAGTTATCAATCACGACACTGAGCTAATGCATAAGCTGCATGGCAAAAAAAAATAATGTAACGTTAGTGGCACGCAGGCTCAATATTACAAGCTAATCTCAGCCGGATAAAGCTAATCGATAAACGCAGGAAGTGAAGGACAAGTGCTAGCTCTATGCTAACGCTAGCTCAGCCGCTGGAAACCGGCACCGACCGAGGCTTCATCGTGAACTTACCGATGTTTAACAAATAATGCCCGTCCTTATCCAATGTGTCTGTCCTGCATAGTTTTAGAGGGGAAAGGTGAGCGTCAAAAACGTTGCATTTCATCCAGATTGTTGAAGAATTAGCAACACAAGACACAACCGTCAGTTTACTACATAGGCGGTATCCGCGTTACTCTACAGCAATCTGATTGGTCAAAACAATCTGTATCGTCCGCGTCATCGTTACCTGATTGGTCCACACGTAAAATACGTGTTTGGTCCCGCCTTATGAGGTCGTTCTATAAATCACATTTAATTTTTAATATTTAACCTTTTTAACTTCTTTTTATTCTAAATAGGACTAAAATCAATCAGTCAATGCATTGTTCTCGACTTTTTAACTTCACATAAAATATCAACATACAACAAGAAACAGTAAAACAATAGTTTTGTTTGCTTTTTTTAACTGTCTTTTAATGTTTGTATATATAAACATGATATTTACAAATCATACAATGAGCATCAGTTAGTTACGGAATAAAACATGTATTACCTTCTCACGGATGGTTAACAGAAAACACTCATCCAACACAGACATTACTCACAAATACCCTCCAGTAAGAAGTTAGTGTCCCCCTGGGAGTTGTAGCAGCCAGAGATCATGCGAGACCAACAGCATAAATGGATTCCTTTGTATTCAAATATTATGTGATCAGGTCTTATGCCATGACTGCAACATCAATGACGAGGACCAATTAAAAAGTGGCCACGTTTTCTTATCCAAGTCCTTTGGTCATGGATAAGAAAGCCCTATTGCTGTTTTAATCAACAGTCAGTGTTATCTGTGTTCACTCAGCCACTGATTAGGCACACGGCTGGGGCCCTCTGCAAGAAAATTGATACTGTGTTTTCCATGCTTCACACTCTAAACACTGTATGCACCTCCAAGCACTGAGCAGCTCTCTCAAAAGACAATCACAATAAGCAACTTCCACCTAGACATTCTTAGTCCATATATGAAGTGTCCACACCCTCGTCGTCGGGGTGAAGCAGTCTTCCTGCCAAGCGCTCAATGTCGTCGAGACTAAGCTGTCGAAGTGAACGTTCATAGTCCTTGAAAAAGCAAAAATAAAACAAAATATTTAGAAACAGCAAATGTAAACTGCACACAGAAATGTCACATTAACCAGCCTGCCAAGTGTGTGATAGGTTAGTTATGTCCTAATTTAGGAGCAAGATACTCCAGCCTGTGCCTCCTTCCTAAATGAGAAGGTCTAGTTTCAGAGAGATCAAAACTAATGGTGCATTAACGCAAAGTCCTCGGTACTTGGTAAGTCAGATATTTCCTAATTTATCAGCAGAAGGTTGCCATGAAAAAAAAAACTGTGTGAAATTGGAAGAGATAGAAAGAGAGTTCCATTTGCAGGACCTTTAAATAAACAATATCTATTCACAGTGAATGTAATTGGGAGTTTTGGCATACATTCAGAAATGAAAACAAATCAACACAATTTGATCAATTACTTGCAGTGCTATACAAGAACAGAAAGTTGCAGTTTATTCCTTGGCTTTCATTATTGAGACCTTTCAGTGGCTTAGTTTGACATATTTCTGTGATAGCTGAGCACCTAAATTAAATACCTTATAAAAATGATATGATCAGTTCCTAATTTTATGGGTGGAGCATGCCTGAACACTCTGTTAAACAACTGAGCACCACACAAAGGATTGTGGGATACAGAGGGCTTCAGGAGGATAGACTGGTTGAGTTCCATATTTGGGCAACAAGAAGGCTGCCTTTCTCTGCCATATTTGGAGAAGATTTGACCTGTTAAATTGTATTCAGACTTTATATAGTACAGCCTCTAAATTTGAAAGCAGCGTTTATACTAACAGAACAAGAGGCAAAAAATGTCAGTTGAAAACCACTGTCAAATATTTATATTGTTAACATGCCAGAAAACTTTGCCCCCACCCCATAGAGTTAAATTAAAACACATAGTTGGGTTAAGAGCTTTTAAATCTGTGTGTGATTATGCCCTTCTTAATGTTTTTAGTCTCCAGCCTCCACTGGTAGCAAGACATCAAAACATTTAACAATTTAGAAACTGTAAATATCCAAATAAGAAAATGGATTAGCAAAGATTTGACTGCTTTGACCTTACATTATAAATGGATGGCAGCAGGCATGCTGTATTTAAATACCTTAATAAGCTGTTCATGGACTTTTGCTGCATCTGCTGGACTAAAGTGTCTAGCAAGGATAGTGGACACAGTCTGCCAAACTCTCCCCTGTGAGCTGCTGCTGCTGCTGGCAACCATCCCCGACGCTCCAGTCCTCTCCCCTACAGGACGGATTACCAGATTCAATTTAGCCTCGGGCCCAATGGAGTAATCACTCAGTCGGTGCTCATCTGAGGAAAAAAATATAGTATGCAATCATCAAAAATGTAAACGTTTGATTCACATGGCTCAAGCAATTACAGTTCTGCACAAAGATTATTAAAAGACTCGACTGCTGGCAAGTCTACCTGCAAGCGCTTTCCCTTTATAGAGCAACCGCTGCTGGTTTGCTGGTATGTTGAGACGTTCGGACACAAGCTCCTTCACTGTGGAAACCTTCTCGTCTTCAGTCACCTGGAAGATCAACAACATGATGATGGATGAATTCTCTCTTTCGGTTCAGCTGAAGCGTATTCAAATTGCATTAGAGTGTAGCCGATCTAAAATTCTTACTCTGCTTCAACTTTACATAAAATGGTTAATTATAATAGTAATAATAATTCACAGTTTTAATTCCAGTGTGTGAGATACTTCCCCCATTTGGTGTACACATCACATGCTTCAGACTACCTGTAGAAGGCATCACTGTTGTTTTATTTTTGATTAACTACATACTAAACCTCAGGCTAATGCAGTACAAACTATAGTGGTCCCTGCAGTCACATACTATGCTAATAAAGCTCGGGGGGGGCTCTGGGTGTTTCCACACACATGTGGCCCGGTGCAGCCTTCTTTTGTGCCTCATACAGACAATAACACGTATCATCTTAAAACATGGGAGGCACAAACTGGGGCAAGGACGTTATAACTTATATCAATATAGCAAATAACGTCAGAGACCTTTGAGAGTAACTTGTCAGTGAGTAACGATAGTAACGTTAGCTAAGTTACACTGCTGTGCTGGCCTATCAAAACCCTTCTTTCATAAGATAACGCTTTATTGAAGTATTTGCTTGACCACTTCCGTTTCCCTCTAGGAATCACCAAATAAGGACATACGCAGCTTCCACTCCCTGCGTTCGAAAGCGGTAACGTTGAGGAGAGAAGTAACGGCAGAACGTCGGATAACGTTACAGTTACCGTCATTCTCAAGGGGGTGGCTAGCGAGCTAGCCCGAGTAACGCCGACTCACAAACCGACCGATATCTGTCAGTGCAGCAGCTCCATTGAAGCTACGCTGTGTGGCGTTTAACAACCTAACCGACCCCCGTTTTCAGGCTCAATCCCCGGTGTGGGAGCTCATCCTGTGACGGGACCACCGCTGTCGGCTAGCGCTGATAAGATAGCTAATGTTGCTAACTGGCGTTGCTCGGGTGGTGCGTTTACGTACCTGTACACTGCACTCTTTTCCTTGAAGCGGTTTCACGGTGAGGATCATTTTCGACGAGGCCCTGAACAACAAAAAACACAAACCACACAACAACAACGCCGTCAGCTGCTCGGCGACAGAAAAATATACCTAAGTAACGTTACTTTGCTAGCTCAGAATAGCCACAGGGCTTCTTCTCTTGTCAACGGCCCATCTTCTTCTGTGGTAGATGCGGACCGCTGCTGGTGTCGGGCGACATTACCGTCGCCTACTGGCGGGAGTGCTGTATGACTGCTCATCCAATATAAAAGACGAGAATAACGAATTATTTCCACTGTTTTGCTTCTAGTTAATGAGCAGAGCATTATTAAAGATCATGGATTGAGTTTGGAATTTATAGAGAAGGCTTTAAGGAATATAATTACTATGTAGTTATTAGGCTGCTAATTATTTATGTTACTATTTCTACATTGTATGTTTCTTTGTGAAGCTTTGAGTGACTGGTGCTATGCTGCATATAAAGACATTAATACAATGGATTTAACCTGTATGTCGTTGCCTGGGTCCTGTTGAACACAGCTGAGTGGGAGTGTGTCTTAATTAACCAAATAATTATATTTACATTAACCTTTAATCAGCCATTGTGACTACTGCTATTCATAACTAGTTTCAAAATAAAATTGCATCATATTTGAAAACACTACAGTTGTTGTCCTAACACTACTAAAGCATTATTTTTCTGTTATGTAGGTTTATTTATTAAATGAAACATCTGAAGGCGTAAAGTCGGGATCAGGATAGGCCACTACCCTGTGCACAGGTACAATAGAGGGAGAGTAAAACCTCTGATCAATGCTCACAGTCAGCCTTTAGTCTCTTTCACATGTGCAAAATATCTGGGGAATACAATGATTGATGTTCACCGCTCAGTTTTCCGGAGACCAGCCTATCCCCAGGGCTCGGAAATACCCCAAAGACCCTCTGACCCAATTGGGATCCAGTCCATGCATTTCTCATTACAGCCTCCCGGATGGTCTCCTCTGTCTTGGTCATGTGATTGCCTGCTGTCTGTGCCCAGCCCTGGCCAGCCCCGAGCAAGAGAGGAGCATCTTTCTCACTTGGGCGGGTACAGAGGAGATCTGCACCTGTCGAATGGACTGTCTGCTGCCAAACAGGGACAAACCTATTCAGGACAAGTGAGACAACGACTCCTACTACGCCAGACAGGCTGCAGGTGGTAAGTGATCTTTATGTGTGTGTGGTGTGAAATACAGCACGGCATTTTGCAGGACACACAACATGCATCTGTATTTACAAACAGTCTATTAGCTGTCAGATTTGACCAACTCATTCATCTGTTATGAAGATTGTGAATAATCGGTGCGTATGGCTCCGGGCGCGCTTTCGACCCAAAATGAAAACATCTACATTTTATTCCTGCAGGGACACAAAGTCTATGTGTGACTTAATAAAGAATCTATAATGACCTTATGTTAATCTGGGGTGTTTTATCTCTCTGATGTGACTATAGCATCACTACTTTCTTGTCCTTTTTTCTCTCATATTTTTGTTGGGTTTCTTTCCATGTTTTAATTTATACATTTTTAAAATCAATTTT